AGTAAATGCCCGTCATACTGTCGTGCTGTCACTCAGACATCTGGTGGAAGTTTTTAGTGGAACACCAACTGCATGTCTAACGAGTGAGAGGAACACTTAAACCGGTTTTATGCTCGGAGGGAAACGCTCACTCACTCAAGTGTCCAAGGGGAAAAAAAGTTTATTTAAAATTGATTATTATTATTATTGACATATTAACATGTAAGAAGCATTTTCATGTTTGACTTGGTTTGGGTTGGAGGTATTTTTTAAGTACTTTTTAAACTGTTTGGTTCTGTAGTGGCGTTAAAGTAGCAGGACATACACAAGTAAAGTCTTAGTATTGTACCTCAAAGTTGTACTTAAAGTACTTAAGTAACTGTTTTTTCTTCACAACTGACTACAATAAGAAAACATAGAGAAGTCGGATATTTAGAGTTGGGCTGTGTAGAATAGCCACACGCTATATTTTGTATACAAGGTTAATTGTTTCTTATGTGCTGACAAAAATTCATTTTGAAAGTATACTTTTGACGTATACTTTGAAAGGAAACTAACAAAACAATACAATGGCTCTTTAATGATTTAATAATCTCAGCACATCACTTTGAGACTGCAAACCTCATTACTTTTTATTACATGAGTTAATCAGCACAAAATTGAATGGCTAACAACATTTTTTACCACTTTCTCAGTTGATGAAACTGAACCAAAAGGTCAATGTATCGGGAATATCTCCGAGAGGACGTTATGTACCAGACTTTAATGAGAAACACCTAATTGCAACCCATCCATTATTTTATTTCTGCTTGATTAATCATATTCTTGTGATGAAAAATGTTCCCGTCTCAATTTAACACACTATCAGGGGGTAGGCTGTCGTGAATACAAATTCTGCCTAATGTTCTGGTACATTAAGTTTTGGTATTTCCTGTCTGACTCATGGGTCTCCACAGGTTTCTCCACTGAAGCCACCCGCAACTCCGACCACATCTCGTCCCACAACAACCTCCAGTAAATCACTGTATACACCTCCAGTTAGCCAAATAAATCACCACTACTGTCAAGGTGGGGATTTAATAGGAACTAGAAGACAAAACAACAGCAAGGTTTGGGCTGTGTGGTGGCTACTGTGCTGGTTGATTTCCTGCCACTTTGGAAGAAAATTTGAGGTTTTCAAATCTGTGGGAAATCACAGCGTCTTTGGAAATTATTCATGTCAAAATAGTTAAACAATTTCATTACCAGCACATTATCCATTCCAGGAAGACATTGCTCCACTATATCTTTACATAGCAAATTGTTGCTCGCTGCTATAATAATGCTATGAATGTTGACTAGAGAACCTTTAAGGGGACAGCTCACCCCAAAATAAAGAAAACGTTTCCTCTTACCCGTAGTGCTATTCATCAATCTAGTTTTGGAGATCTCGGCCATAGAGATGTGTGCCCTCTCTCCATTATAATAAGACAATATGGCTTGTAGTGCACAAGCACCAAAAAATACATTTGAAAAACTCAAAAGCAATGTCTCTCTCCAGAAATCTATGTCTGAAAGAGAAATAGTTCCTATGTGAAACTGCTCACATCAAGGTCTGTGGATTATCTTAAGAGACATTGCTGTTGAGTTTTTTTGATTATTTTTTGGGCACTTTGAGCAACACAAGCCGAGTGGCGTCTCGTGGCCTTATATTGGAGAGAAGGCAGACATCCCTACGGCCGATATCTCCAGAACTAAGCAACTCACACCAAAACAATCTTGATTGATAAATAGCACTACAGGTAAGAGGAAAATATGTATTTTTGATGTTGGGGTGAACTGTCCATTCATTCCGACTCTCAATTTTATTCCAAATCCAGCTCATTAAGGTCATCTTTTATTGTTTTGGTTTTCATTTAACTTCCCCGATACCAACCAGATTAAATCCTCCACAATCTTACACCAGTCTGCCATGGTGATAACGAGGCCTAATTTATTTTCTCCAGGAAGAGTACTGGACCCCAAGCTTCCACTAGATATTGATTAAACAACTGTATTGAAAACAGAGAGCAGCATACACACTATTCCACTGTTATCAGCGGGACATTGAAAACATAAAAAAATGCTTGAGGGCTACATTTTGTGCCATCCTGCTCCTGACCCAGTTCAATACAGGCCTTTCCCATGACAAACCAGAGAAGCCTAAACAATGACATTTGAACTGAACACAAGGTGAGAGCATTGTCTTTTTTCTTAGCTGGTGGCATCTTGTCTTTCCACCTAGCAGTCTGTCTGGACGTCAGGTCAGTCCTATATAAGCTCTTTCCTGCTCTGTATTTTTGCAGGGATCTGAGACACTCTGTTCGGTCTACAACGCCGATGGTGTGGGTTTACAGAGAGTCCTTCTGATGGGAACACAGTGCCATCTGGTGGAAGCTATAGGAAAACTGAAGGACATGTGTACTCTGTGGCTGCAGCCGCCGTGTTCTCCTGCATCGCAGCTTATATCAGCTACAGGTCAGTGAGGGGACAGTCTGTCAACACTGATTAACTCTACTGCCTATAAAAAAAGAAGAGGGAAAGTCTGTTAAATGAGCTGGCCATGACTCAGCATACATTAGTTGTATCCCTTTGTAGTCAGTCTAGCTGTTTCTGAGAAAATGTAATTATTCAAAACACACACATTGTGCTAATGGCATTTAAAACAATTGAGTACTGACCCCCTCCTGACAACGCCACACCTCTCCTGCTGCTTCCCCATCTTCTTCCTGCATTCAGCTGATTTTGTAGTTGCTAACAACAGATTACTGACTGCATGAAGCGTTGACTACCGTGATAAAATCCAATCGAAAGGAAATGAAACAATGGGTGGCAGATAAAAAAATGTTTAATGGATGTTTTTCAATGTCAAATGATTTCACGTAAATGACTGTTTTGGAATTTCTAGTTTATGAAGAAATACAAAGTGCATAAATGTTATGACACTGTGTACAATAATGTATTATTAGGAATCCAGTGCACTTATTTACAGCTGAAGAACATAATAAAAAACAATATATCCTACATTATGTTTATTGGGATCATGTACAATTCCTTCCCTTGTCTTCCTTTTACAAAAACTTCAAATTCCAGTTTTTACATCCAAACATGTCAATTAGTTTTTACATATTCAAATGTTTCAATAAGACACAATAGAATAGTACAAAATAAAAAATAGGAAAAATGTACTGTAATAGGTAGCATAGTATAAATATTTAACAATACTGAGACCCTCTGCTGCATATAACCCAACATAAATATTGTGTTCAGGTTGATGGTGTATTCCAGCATTACCGATTTGAAATTAGGCTCAGTCCGGTTGCAGCATATGTTATTGTTTACACAAACCCACAAAGGGTTGTATTCTATTGGCTTGTTGTGTTCTTTTTTCTCTGCCTACTGTTTTCATTGCATTTTGGTGTCAAGTTTATATTCCATTTCCCTTTTCACTCACTCATCTTTTCCTACACGGCAGTTTGCATACTTCATTTCAGTCATATTCCGGTCTTTTTTTTAAACTCATTTTGTGTGCTACAAATGGGCCGACACATTTAAAAACTTGACAGATTGCACAAACATCCCGGACGTGTTATACGGTTTGGGGAATACCAGGGGTTCATACACATTTTGACCAATGGATTTCCATGACTTTAAACCAAATTTCCATGACCAAACATTTTGTGAAATCTCGGTGTATACATGAAAAAGTGAGAAAATGTAGTATTTAAACTAACAATGAGAATTCCAAAGCATACAGTATACCTTAAATGACACAAACGAATGAGAGACAATAGTTTGATTAAAAGAATAAACATTTATAAATATACTCTGGTTGACAGGCATTCATAACACTGACACATCAATAAGAGCTTTAGTAGGTAGCAGCATCCAGCTAGTGCACATATTGCCTTCCCTTTTGTAGTGCAAAGTTTTCATTGAACCCTGTTACTGTATGTCTTCATATTAACTTCCACTGTTACAGCAAAGCTGTTGGAATTGTGGCCTATCTTCTATTTGCAATTAATATGCATTCAATCCAGTTCAATTATTTAAATGAAAATGATAATCTACTCTGGCTAAGGTAGCTTATCAAGAGTAAAATAATAGCTGTGATCTATACACACCTCTGCATTAGCAACCCGCTGAAATGAAGGTACAGGCACCTTAACCCTCTCATTACTTCAGGGTTCTTGAGAGCAACGTGGGACTGTTGGGACTGTTAGTACACTGGCTGTGGTCATCACAGTGAACAGTGTGATGAGAGGGCATGTGAGCCCTTGTTGCTGTAGTTCATATCCTTGGAGCAGAGGCTGCATTTAGCATACCCTGCCTTATCAATGTATTTAAAATACTGACAGCAGGAAACTGTACTCACGTCTGTTTAGACCTCCACCTTTATCCAGGCCCAGCTCCACCCACATCTCAGCCCTGCGTCAAGCTGCGCTACACAAACAGCCTCCTCTCCCTGAAGCTCTTTGACCTCATCAGTATCTGGGCCTCATGTTTCGTTATCTTAAACGTTATTATCACCACAAAATCATCCTCATTCTACTTTGAGTTAAAACAAACAACCAGATGCGCCGGTGTTCCGGTTTAACGTTATCGAGTGACCGCGTGAACTGAACTGGAACACGGGGGGGCTGCATGTTTCATCACGTTATGTTTTTTCCTTCTAAATCGTGATAATGATGAACGTTAACAGTCGACAAAGGGACGTTAACTTAACCCAGCAAGTATGAACGGTAACGGACATAACGTAACTTAAACTTTAACGGAGGGAAAGACGCTGTAGACATCTGAACGCTGATTGGCCAAGACTCGACACGTCAAAGATGTTCTATTGCGAAGATCACATCACATTTTCTCCTCGTCTCACTCCAATGTGAGAAACGCTGGCTGGCAACTCAGAGCAAATGAACGACATGAAAATATGAATATAACTAATTTCCATGACTTTTCCAAAACTTTTGGGATTTAATTTTTTTCCATGACTTTTCCAGGCCTGGAAATAACCATTTTAAAATTCCATGACTTTTCCAGGTTTTCCATGACCGTACGAACCCTGGAATACGTCACACCATGCCCTCGATGGTGTCCAGCGTCGGGGAACGCTCAGCCTTAGTGTGCTGCGCCTCCTGTTGCCTGCAGACCTGCTGGTATTCTTTCAGCACCTTCACCACCTCTTCGTGTCCGAACTGCATGGCGTCATCGATTGGCAGGTTACCCCACCTGCACAGCAATGAGTAAAAAAGATGAAGAGAGGAATGAGCAGATAAGTTATGGAGCATTTTCAGCAGTGCACAATAATTTAAGTTACCAATGTGGTAAAGACAAGTTCAAATGTTTTATCTGTTACTAAAGGAAAATTCTGCCATTATGGCAAATGGATCTAGATCCAGGTTACCCTAAACATTGTTTCTTTTACTAGAGATGTAGTACCAAATGAGACTAAATAGTTTGTGCCAGCAAGTTCCTGAGTTACAAGAATAGAATGACAAGATGCACACCGTGCAGTTTTCATCAACTACTTCTGGGACTATTGTCACATTAGCCACAGTTTTGAGAAATTCACCAGGATGAAATATACTGGAATTACCCTTTAAGTTACTTTAAGTGCCAATGCAGTTGTGGTTGTTTAATCAATATTTGTAGACGTTCAGTTAATGGTAATTATCAATTACTTTCATTGTCTCTGCCAGGCGTAAACCCGGGGAGAGGTTTTGTGTTCAGTCATGTGTGACTGTGTGAGTCTGTGCGTCCGTGACTGTGCACCTCTGTGTCTGTCCACGCTTAATCTCACATTCTGCTGCAGCAAACTATTTTGGGTGGACAGTTATGGCTGTATGCCAAAGGACCTCTTGTGGTTGTGGGGATTCATACTTTCTCAAAACATCTGTTATTACCTGTTTTATACTCCCATTGACTCACTTCTCATTTATCACCCTTAATCCGTTTTCTAAAAAACTTGTTGTTGAGATTGAGTAAAGTCTGTTGGACGAAGCTTTACAGCACCGGTATTATTCATTTAATCACACAATACAGCAGTGGTCGTTGCAGATGCACCGGGCGGAAATCTGCACTCTACTGAGTGCACCTAGTTCAAACTAGGGAGTCCCACTAAGATTAGAAACCACATTCTCGATAGACAAATGGGAAGAAGCATCTAAATATATGTAATTCTCAGCTAAGTACGGCATTGATTCTATCTGAAAACAACAAAAAACACGAGAAATTTAAATATTTGATCACGATAAAAGGCCAAACATATGTAGCAGCGAAGAAATTCAAAGCTAAAGGATAAAAACACAGAAGTTATATATGATGTTCTCACCTGTCTTCTACAAATGGATCAACTTTGCAGATTTCAGTAAGGAACTTCACCACATCTATATGACCTGAGGATGAACACAAGAGACGACAGTTTATAGTTTCCCATCTGGGAGAATTACAATAGATAGAGACAATCTTTCTCTGATTAGACAGAAAACACTGTTTTCACATTGGTGGCTCTATAAAAGGCTGCTAAAAATACAAACTACATGGAAAAAAAAAGGCTTATGACTCTTCCCTCCAGTCACAATCCAACTATGAATCAGATTTAGGAGCGCAAAGCTCTGCCTTTTTCATTTGCAAGAAAACTGTTATTACTTCCATTTTTATCTTGTAGACAAATGACTTGCTTACCAGGCTCTTTTTGAAAAATGTCACTGCTGAACATGCTGCAGCAGAGCATTAAATCTGTGCTGTGAATAAAGCTCGAGCACAACAGATAATAAATAATCGACCATATGGTGCCCTGAGAGGGTCTGTGAGCTGATTCGTTATTGGGTGTGTATAATGTGAGCCGAAGGTACTGGGCCTCCCTAGTTAATCAAATAAAGTGACAACTAATTTAGCACTAATCACAGCTGTGAACACACAATGCAAGTAAAACACAATTATCCTCGAAGCTTAATTGTTTGTATGATAAAGGTGATCTTGGGTTGTTGTTTTAACCAATCCTCATTAAAAAATTGAAGCATTTTAAAGCTGAACTCTTTAACTTTCTATCAGCTGCCGTCTTAGAACCACAGAGAGCAGATAGTCGTTGTATTGTCTCACCTCATCGTTGTTGCGATCCACCTGTCCCATCCTCTGTCCACCAGGACAGGAGGGAACAAGTGTGACCTGACCAACATTTACCAGCAGAGGTTACGGAGTCTCCAACCAGAGAAAATGTGCAATATTTAAAGCATGTAGGCTAACAGTTCGTATATATATATATATATATAGTCAGCAAACTACAGGTATTGTTCCCACCTCAACAGGTGCAACAAAGCCAAAAGGAGGGTCATAGAGATGTACACGCCCACATAATGCTCTAATCAGGCAGAATAAGTGAAAACCCCTGTGTTGGTTTATCATGGGCACATACAGTAGGGCTGAGCCGGGTATTTAAGTGATTTATTTATGTTTCATTCATGATTTATAGGAGTTCATAATTTTCTGCTTTGCAATGCAGACCTTTGAGAGCTGAGGATGTCTTATTTTTGCCAAGTGGTCAAACAGATTTGCTGCCTGACTGCTTTATAGTTTGCCTGTGGGAGTGATTTAGTGCACTCACTAAATAACAGGACCCCCAGATGAACAGATCATGTGGCGCTCACCCTCTGCTGCAGAGATATGTAGCGCTGTTCGAGAATCATAGTCTTTCAGGTCCATGTCCATGGATGAGAGAGCAAACCTGAAGGAACAAATAAAAGTACAGTTCACCAATACTTTCTTTGATACATACAATTTTAAAAATGAGATGAAAACATAATTTTTCCACATAGTAATATAAATATAGAACCACAAATACATACTTTAGCTTTGAGTTACTCAACATACAAGTACTAATATGATTTATGTAGACAAACTTTATAGTTATGAGATGCATTATAACAAAAGAAACACACAAAATGACCCTTTACATCTGGAAAATCTATTCCAAGCAGCAATGAAGCAGTTTACTACACTTTACCAAAGACACTTTATGTTTGATATTCATTACATTTGTGACCCATCTGAGAGTTTTTCGGGCACCCGTGCCTGGTGTTAACATTGTGAAAGCCATCTGTTATACGGGACAAACAATACTCAGGGTGATGTACCTTCTCATGGCAGACACATCCCCACTGTAGGAGGCGAACATCAAATTAAAAATAGACTTGTTCTGCAAATACAGGGAAAAAACATAAACACAGAGACACAAAACACTTTAAACACACAAGCAAGAACAAGCTGACAAAGCAACAAACCCTGTCATCTCCGTCCGGTCTGCGAGGATCCTGCTTCTTTACAAAGTGCCTCAGGTTGTCATAATTGTGGAAATTGAAGAGCGAAACGAGCTCCTGAGGGTGTTAAGATACAGTAGAATGGTTAGAGGACGTCCGTATTATTTTATGCTTTAAGACAAAGAAAACTATGATGCAAACAAAACAAGCTCTTTATCGGAACAAGGCAAACAAATGTTTAACAGAAAAACCAAACCTCTGAGGCTGCTGGAATGATTTTATGTCATCATGCTCTCGTAATCAGTACCAGCGCCGTTCACAGTTTGTTCTCTTTAAGGCAGCAATAGAGTTTACATCTTGATGATATTGATTGTTTGACCTAAACTTTTAGGATTCTGGTTTTGGTAGAACAAACTTTAATTGGTTTGTCTAACGAAGCAAGGTAAAGCCACTTTGAGTAAGATTTATAAACTTTGGCTCACTCGAATGGAAATATACAGAAACAGCAGCACTGCAGCAGACAGTAATAACTAAAAAGCCACCAAAAATGATTTGATGCGATAATCCCATAAACACTCTGCACATAGTGGCCTTATTTAAGCATCCTCTCCGTTGCCAGGAAGAGTCCAAACTCAAAAATTTTGTCCAACCTGACAGAAGTGAATTCCCCGGACGCTGTTTCCAACTCTGTCCAGAGGAGGAGACCAACACATCACTCCCATGACGTTGGGGATCACCAGCAGTATGGCACCGGACACCCCGGATTTTGCCGGCAAGCCCACCTGGGAGATGAGAGACGTGGGATTTGTTTCCGGTGAACAAATGAACAAGCATTTCCTCCACAGTGATCATACCGATTGATCTTTTTTAATTTCTGTTGGTACACTCACTTCCTACTGTTACTCACATGAAAAGCCATCTGGCCAGAGAAGTCATACATGCCACATGAGTGCATGAGACTCAAAGTGTTTCGCACTGCCTCGGCACTCAGGACACGCTCGCCCGTGATTGGACAGATACCTCCGTTGGCCAGAGTGGCAGCCATGATGCTTCCTGATTCACAGGTCACCTCGATGGAGCAAAGCTGAGACCAAAAGGGGAAGAAGCAGTTCATGGTCAAAACCATTGAATCTTTTTTCATGACAGCGAAATCAATATAAAGCTCCACAAGATTATAGACGTAATGATTCTTCATGAAAAGCTTCACTCACAGCAGAGCATGTTTACCTGGAAGTAGAAGTCCAGGGAATCGATCATATCTGCTCCCGGCGGAAAACACTGGTGAATGAAATATGATCATTGTGACTCTATGAAGTATGCCGGCCTAGCAATGTGCAGATGTAGTATGATCAGAAATATCTTGTCATAAAGTTTTATTTTAGTCCGTCTCCTCAAATAGGGTCAATAGGTCTTGACTAATGCCTCTAACATGATAAACAAAAACAAATAAACATATTGCATGCTATGGCTACAGATAACAGAAATATTAAGCTAACGAAAGCCTTTCAAACTAAAAGAAAATGAAACAAAAACAATATCTTGGTCAAGTCTCCTTTTCTTACATCCTAGTAGAAAATGTGTTTTTAACCAGACAACAACACTGATGTCTGGCTTTTGAAAATACTAGCTAATCCTCTACATGTAGAGCTGAAACAAATAATGAATCGATTTGTCTTTCCTCTGTAACATTTTTGATATTCAGCTTTTCCAATGAGTGGATTTGCTAATTTTCTTCTGTTAGTAATCGGTAAATGAATCTGCAATGAAAATACATGATTTAAATAGTGTCTCTTTAAAGAAACATGTCATACACGTGTCAGAACACTCAGTTGGACACAGAGTTGGTATGCAAACATTGAGCTTCATCTCGAACAGATGCAACGGCAAACAGAAAGCCTTTCCAATCCCACATATTTCAGCATTCTGTAACTGACCTTCTTCTCTTTCATGTAGTATCCGATGGCAAAATTTCTGTTGCCTGTTTCTTTTTCTGACTGGAACCTGAGACAGAGAAGCAGACAGGTCAATACAGAAACATCAATAATGCAACAGAGCAGCGGACAGGCAATTTGCCCAACACTGTCTTTCAACTTAGGTGTGCTGAACGAAGATATATTAACTTCAGAACGCCTCAAATTTATTCGGCAGTGCACTCACATGGCATTGCTGAATCCCACATACTCCTGGCCGGCCATCTTTTTCACAAACTCCATGACCTGGGTCGAACAAAGACAACGTTTTACGTGCACTGCAGCATCTGACCGCCGACACGATCAACCCTCAGCTTCATATTCATGGCGTTAACAGAGAAGAGGCGCACTACTTACATAGTCAAACTTCTCTGCCTTATTTGAACGAGGCTGAAACACAAAGCGAGAGGCAGTTGCATGTGTTGATTGTAATTGTCACATTCATGAACACTGAACGTGACTGATGACTTCAGTACTAGGGTACTCATAACACCGTGGTGTGGAACAATAAATGAATGCATCACTGATTGCATCATTTAGTACCTTATTATCAGCGGGGAAAGTACAAGAGGAAAGATAGGCTGTGGCCGTAAACCACAGAGCTCATGTAGAGTTCGGGGACTATTTCACAAAACAGGACTACAGACAACTGTAGAAAAAATAAAACTGTTTTTTTCTGATTTTAATCTGCAAGACACACTTTAAATCTGGTAATGAAAAACAGTCATATGCTGTCAATAAGATAGGAGTTCTCAAAATATGATTACAAAAAATTAAGATATACTAATATCTTATTACAGTACAGCTGCTTCATGACATCCCCCCCCAGGCTAACATCATACTCATCAACAGACTCACTCAGCCGCCTGCAGGCTATAAGTCACGAATTTTCTACAAAACAAAATCAAGATGAACATTTTCAAGTCTGAATACAGCGTTATAGTTCAAAAAAATACTTCAATGTAATGAGAGATGTCTCAATAAAATTTAGAGATAATTATAATAACTGTTAATTTTTTGCCGACATCATGTGTGGAGTGAATCATGTCATTTTGTGAAAATGAAAAAAATGGAAACAGTTGCAAACTCTAACGCTTGTGTGACTCCAAAGTACAAGTAAGAGTTTGTAAAATGTTCTGTGAACTGTCACACAGCAGGCCGCACGTGTCCATCTGTTTACCTCGATAAGAGAGCTGATCACAATGGCTCCAGCGTTCACCATGGGGTTGTGGGGCTTATCTAGAAGAGAGGACGACGAGATAAGACACAATGTTAATGAGGGCCTTTAAACAAAATACATAATGTATCATTATGAAGTTTAATATTCACTGAGAGCATAGACTGTACATAACAAGTGGACGTAGTCACCGTGACGTCACTTATTTTTGTGGACTATGGTTTTGAAGCCATTTTGTTTTTGCAACCAGACGTGACACAAGAGGGTGGAGTTAAATACATCCCAAACGCTGATTAAGACATTTTTAGACAACCAAAACCTTAAAATTAACTTGCATGAACTGAAAACACACTGTGAAAGGGTTAGAGCTGTAAGACGATAACACGGACTAACTCCCAAACCGGACAATGGCGTGGTAGCGACCTGTCAATAACAAGGTAGCCACGCCCTAAAGCACACCCTGCTTTATTGTCTAATTTACTCCAAATGGGACCATCATTTACAGAATGAACATCAAGCTGTATTGAAGAAAACTTGAAACTAACGATTGAGACCATATACCAGGCATGGGCAAACTACGGCCCGCGGGCCAGATACGGCCCGTTGGGCTTTTTAATCCGGCCCATCAAATATTGGTAGAACATTGTCCGAACTATAATAAAGACTAGGGCTGGGCAGTATACCGGTTTTAATTTCCCGTATGATATGAATTCTTCACACACCATTATACCGGTGCATAGCCGAAACAACTGCTGTCTGTCTTCAACAGGCAGCTAAATGTATTGTTCGTTGCTGAAAGCAGTGGAGTCGGAGCTACTTGTCTTATATGTATTGAGAGGGAACCCTAGTCATGATCATAACTTTATAACAGAACAATTAACAACCCACAACTAACGCTCTTTAACAGAGCAAAACACCATAGCACACAACAGTCTGTGACACATAAACAATTTGTAACACTAATAATTGTACATTTATAAAATTTCACCGCCGAACTGCATGCTGGGTACAGCTCACTCGCGGGCCTGCTAGCAGAATAGTCTGCTAACAGCTTGGAGAGGCTCCGTCGCTCCAGTTACGTTACATTAAAGAACAGAACAGAGCGATGCAGGATGAACAAAGACAGACCGGAGATGCACCGATAGAGTTTGACACATATGCAACGCTGATTACCGTGTAATATGTGTGGTATTTGTTATAAATGTACATTGGTGCAAAGAGGCGATAAGAAGCTGTATGTGGAGGGGCTTAGGACCCAGGGGAATGTAGGTGAAAGAAACGGGAAGAGACGGAAAACACGCCACACAAACAGCTGTTCACCACTGTTGCCAACTTAGCAACTTAGTTGCTAGATTCAGCAACTTTTCAGGCTACCCTAGCAACTTTTTTTTCAAACAGCACCTAGCAACAAATTTAGCAACTTCTGAAAATATATTTGGCACTTTTAGCAACTTTTTTAAAGTGACTCAAATGCTAAAATGCACGCAGGCATTTTCCCTCTAAATGACACAAAAAAGATTTTCTCCATCACACACACAGCCACACCCACAACACACGTGCCTGGCTGCAAAGGTGCATTGTGGGTGACGTCAACAGCATGTGCTCAGCTCGTGCACAGGAGGGGGCAGCAGCCGAGTCAGCCGACAGCCCGACAGTGACACGCAGCAAATCATTGTTGGCTGACTGCAGCAGCAGCAGTATGTCTCAGTCAAAATTGTACAGCCAGAAGTACAGAAAAGAGTGGGAGTCTGTACCTGAATTTAAAGGGTGGCTAAAGCCAGTAATTGGGGATGATTGTCGGGCATACTGTGCGTACTGCAAATCAGATATGCTTGCAAAAATCTATGACATCAGAAAACATTGTGCTCCAGCAAAGCATATAAATAAATCAAAACCGCACAACCCTGCAATCTACATTACCACAGTTAAGAAAGTGGATAAATGCAAAAGCGCAGAGGCTACTATGGCAATGGCCATTGCAGAGCATTGTTCGCTGCTAGCATGTGACCATTTAGTTATGGCTTGCAAAGCTGCCTTTTCAGATTCTGTGGCAGCAACAAACTTCCAAATGCACCGCACTAAGTGCACAGAAATGATTAGGGGAGTACTGGCTCCTTATTTTCTCAAAAGAGTAACATCAGATGTGGGGGATGAGAAGTTCAGTCTCCTTTTGGATGAGTCCACTGATGTCAGTGTCTCGAAATACTTGGGTGTGGTGATTCGGTATTTCAGTGCTATAAAAAGAACCGTTGTGTCCACATTTCTCGGGCTGGTTGAATTGGAGGGGAGCGATGCCAAATCAATAGCAAAGGCAGTAGTTGAGTTACTTAAGAAGTGTAACCTTAAAAAAGAGAATCTTCACGGTATTGGCACTGATAATGCGTCCGTGATGACTGGGGTGCACAACGGGGTACACAAGATTTTAAAGGAAGAATGTACATTGCCCAATTTGGTACTCATCCGCTGTGTGTGCCATTCTTTACAATTGGCTGTCAGTGCAGCATCCAAAGAAACCATCCCTAGGAGTGCTGAGTACCGAATCAGGGAAACCTACAACTGGTTTTCGATTTCCCCAAAAAGGCGCGAGGCATACAAAGCAGTGTATGCCACAATTAATTGTGGCCAGAAACCCTTGCAGATCACCAAAGTGTGTGCCACACGTTGGCTATCGATTGAGCCTGCGGTAACTCGTATATTGAGCCAGTGGGATGAATTGAAACTCCACTTTGAGTTGACCAAGGCCAGTGAGCATTGCTACATGGCGGATGTGCTCCATGCCATGTACGTGGACAAGACCAACTATGTCTACCTGACATTCTTGAAATCAATCCTGTCCGACGTACAAGTTGCATTGAAGTCATTTGAGGGAGAGCAAACAGATCCTGTCAAGCTTTTGGACAATCTGGTACACCTCTTAACATCAATTTGCAGCAGAGTAGTCCACCCTATGGCAAAAATTGATGTCCTGAAGGATGCCATTGATGGACATCTCAGTCCATCACCATACCTTGGGTACCTTTTCGAGAGCACACTGTCCCGACTCAGTCTTGCGCCAGACGACGAAAAGGTCATTCGTAGTCGGTGCATCAACTACATTGTTGCTTTAAGCAAGGAGCTGCAAGGAAGGCTCCCAGACAACCTAGAAGCCTTGCGAAACATGGCCTTGTTCAGTGTTAAGGACACGCTAAACCACAATAAAGGCACCACTGAAATTATTAAAGTAGCTGAGCTACTGGGGTACCATCCCCAAACAATTGACAAAATTGTTTCCCAATGGAGAATCATCCATCTGTTTAGGTGGGACTCAACTGAAAATACAGTTGAGTTTTGGAGTGAAGTGAAAAACTACAGGGACTCTTCCAGGTCAAATCCATTTCAAGAACTGTGCAAAGCTGCACTCGCTGCCCTCTCCTTGCCACAATCAAATGCGGAGGTTGAACGGCTGTTCAGCCAAATGAGTGTGGTCAAGTCAAAGCTGAGAAATAGGATGTTACTGCACACTCTCAACTCCATACTCCTGGTGCGGTATGGACTGAAGCTGGCTGGAGATACCTGTTACCAGCACAAACTACCAAGTGAAGTTCTGGAGCAGTTTGGCACCAAAACAGCATACGGCTTTAAGGCCACTCCATCCTCTTCTGCTGGTTCCAGCTCCGTGACAATGCAGTTGGACAGTGAAGATGACGAGGTTTTCTTTTCCACTTTTTGATTCATCATATTTACAGTATGTATGCAAGGAGTGGACTTTCTGGAACTGGCGGAGACACACAGCTGATGGTGGCAGTGTGCACTGCCGTGTGAGCGAGAACAGTGGCAATATCTGGAGGAAACCATTGAGCAGCTAGCCAGCCAAGCAGCACAACAGCCTGGAGACAGCTGGAAAGAGATGCCCAGTGCACACATCATTATTTGAGTTAAGTTGCTTGTTCAATAAGATATCATATATACCTTGTTATTAGCTTGTACCTATAATTATTGATCAGTTTGGTTGCATGTTAACCAACTACCAGTACACTGCTTAAATTGTTCAGAATGTGTAGGTTTACTAGTTAATAAGAAAAGAAAAAAAGTAATTGTTCAATAATGTGTAATTGTTCAATAATTCAATGTGTTGTGTTTAAAAATATCTGATCATATAAAATGTGTTGTGTTTAAATTACTTCTACAAATACAAATGTGATAATAAACAAAAAATCTTAATTAACAGATGTCAAATCATATTATTTGTCGAGATGGACAGTCAATTTGAGTAACGTTATTGTGTAGTCTACGAAAGTACGCAGTTTTACGTTATTACGTAATGACGTCATCACGTAATGACGTCACAACGTCATTTAGCAACTTTTAGCAACTAATCGACCTGCCTCTAGCAACTTCCCCAGAAAAATAGTTGGCAACAGTGCTGCAGACCAGTGATTCTCAACTGGTGGTTCGTCGCGGACCCGTTTTCAGTGGGTTGCGGGCCGTTGCTTTATGCAGCGGAGTTATTCACGCTCCTATCCAGCATGTACGGCACTTGTTCAGTGGTGCAGGAAAAACACCGACCAATGCGTTGTAAATCACGTCACGTGATGCAGTTTAGCCAATAAAATAAGGGTATTCTGATACGTTTCCTGACTCCAGTGAGATGTACCCACACCGTGACACAGGGGGGGAGAGACAAGGAAAGACATGACAGAGCAGAGCTCTGATAATGTTAGATGTGAAAGTCAAATATTTGTATCATCCCTTCAAATAATCAAACCGCTAAAAATAATTAACCTTTACACTAAAAACACTGTGTCAAAAATATCTGCTTAATAAGAAGCGCATGATAAAATATGCATTAATGCGATAAAAAAATACTGTGTAAGATCCCAGTTAACTGATGAACACCTCAGATCTGTTCTGAGAATTGCCACAACCAAACACCAAACGTTGATGCACTGGTTAAAAAGGGTGACCAACAACACTGTTCCCACTGAAATTAAATGCAAGTTACTTTTACTTGTAATTTATATTAGTTCACACAACTGGCCCGGCCCGTCTGTCAAATTTTAAAACTCAATGTGGCCCCCGAGCCAAAAAGTTTGCCCACCCCTGCCATATACACATGTTTACAATGTTTACTGAGGAAATAAATCAAATGAGAAGTAGGCTCATTTTGAGACCTGGATGTTGCCACCTGGCTGAGAGTCAACGAGGCATTGATGTAAGCTTTTACAATCCAACAGGACAGTGACGAGGCCTTACAAACCTTCATCATCAAGTGAGAGCATGTTGAACTTGAGTCCACTGGGCTCCATACCGACGTAACGGTGAACCCTCTCTGTCCCCATCTCATGGACGGCGATGGCGTACTGCAGGGGCTTCACACAGGACTGCAGGCAGAACGGCAGCTTGGTGTCGCCTACTGAGTGCCTGGAGGAAGAAGACAGCGTGTTTCAACTCTCACTGAACATTAAAACAGATCCACTTTGACAATCACTAAAAACTGTCATGATTGACAATAACATTGTTGTAAAAAAATTGCATCAATATCACAAAACACCAGCAAGTTAATTCGTTCATAAATTGAAAAAAACAAATCTGCTGAGATTGAAAGTCCATTCTTAACTCTTCACTTTAAATACAAACTTATTTAAACATACTCTTATTTTGTTTGTTTTCCATATGCTGTTGTAAAGTTTCATATTTTAAATGATGTGCTATACTATTGCACTGTGTTTATTGTTATGCACCAATCACCAAGTCACATTCCTTGTATGTGCAAACATACTTGGCAATAAAACGTTTCAGATTCTTTATCGTGGAAACAGTAGTCGACAGTACAATCTCACCTAAAGGTCCACTGAGTAGCTGTTCTGGAGCTTTCGATCATATCACATGGTCGTCCTCAGCATCAGTCAAATCAATCTCAACTTTTAAGCCAATAAGGATGAGAAGTCTTAAAAGTGCTCAGGAGGTAATTTCTAGAATTGAATGACGACCGTGAAAACTCTGCCTATCGATGAAGATCATGTGATATATAACACAAGCTAACAAGCGCCACAAAGGCTACTAAATGGACCTTGTGGTGTCAACAACAAATCTGTCATTCGTACCTCTGTCCATCCACCGTACACAAAGACACACCCCACAGTTCTGGACTAAACTTAGCGAGTTGGGGGATGTAGTCTGCCACCTAAAGCCAGAAAACATAAGAGAAGCACAGTAACAGTTAAATCACACAGTTTAAGATTCGGAATACACAAATATTTTGGCTTGAGCAGAAAGTTGGAGTGAGGGAAAAGTCAATGAAATGAGACGATTCCTACAGCTTTTTCTGTCTCATGCAGTAATTCCACTCATCTTCAGTATTGATTTTCATGTAAGCAAATATTGAGAAGGCAGTATGAATTTTAAAGGAAGCTATGTCAATATTTAACTGAAGATTGTTCTTCACTAAACCATACACAGCACCACTACTATCACAACAGGTAAAATGATCTGTAACAACACCTGTTCAAGGCTTAAACAACATTCTACACTCCTTGTGTTAGTCACTAGAAGACTCCACAATAACTTATTAATCATAAAATTCATTTTCCATTTATTCACAATAAGGAACAAACAAACAACAGACGCATACCCTCCCATCACTTTGGCTTTGAACTCTGTTGTAGATTTTATTTATTCTTTGAGCAAACACGTCAAACTCCGGGATGATAAATTTCTTTCTGAAGGCCTGGATCAGCAGGACGATGTTTCCACCGACACACCTGAAAGAAAAAAACACATAACGCAGGGGCACTCAGAAGCACTCACTGAAAATGCAATAGATACTTTTGGAATTAGTGTAACATAGCACGTGTGTGTGTGTGTGTGTGTGTGTGTGTGTGTGTGTGTGTGTGTGTGCATTCTCTGGTGTGAGAGCAGCAGCTGCCAGCTATCAGTCTAAGCAACGGGCTTTTGCTTTGATCAACATGTCGGTAAATAAAGCTGACATGTCCTCCTGACACACACTAACTACATACACTGTCACACCTCCAGGTTTTAGTTTATTAAGCTAAAGGAACATTTCACCACATGTAGTACCATTTCTGACTGTCTATATGCAAACACATGTTAGCTTTAAGTTTACACAGAGGTTGACTGACCTGCTTTGGCTAGCTATATATGAATCAACAGAGAAGACGGGGATGAGAAAACATGTTTCTGCTCGCTATTATCATCTTTTTGGTAAATACCGGAGATTGATTGCAGGTACAAGAAATCCCTCCTAACAAATGATCTGAAATATTGGATTTCAATGACATGGCTCGGGTGAAATTATTTAATTTGTATCCAAAACCTAAAAATCTTAAGCAATTTCTGTATTGACCTGCATCATATTATACAACCTATGTTCGCCCCTTCATGTACAAATAGGAGGTTGGAGGCGACCGCTCTGAAGGAAAGCAATTTAATTAAAGACCACCAAAGACCACAGACTTAAAAACCGGCATAGAGTTAAATGAAGACGTTTCAGTCAGTCCCAACAAACATTCACAAATCTATTGATTAAATTGCATTACGCTATGATGTATGAATGTGTGCTGTGTGAACCTGACGTTCTTCACATTGTTGTTAAACTGGTCATAAATGACTCATAATCAGTAATGTGATGTATGTGTTGGAGACAAGCGAAGAAAGACAGAGACAGAGATAAGCATGCAGCAGGTCACATACAACAAATGCTTCATTGGAATGGATTGTGTCGGAAGGTCAGACTAAAAATAGTTTGGGCTCACGCCCACACCGGGTAGTGAATGGAAAACCAAACCCCATGAGACAGTCAGCGATGAGACACAAGTCCAATCTGAACACACTCCCGAAACCAGGCAGTAAAATAAGAAAACTTCAAAATCAAGTGTAATATCTCCTGCCAATCATGTGAATAATAAACCCATGACTCTTGTTGCTCGTTAAAGTTGCCGAAAAGTTATCGTGTGTGTATGCGTTTGAGTTGCTGATCTGCAGTATAATAAACTTTCAGTTTAAATGTAGAAATAGGACAATTTTTTACAATTTGGAGGCTTTCGACAAAGTGCAGACAGAAAATAAAACCCCAGCACATCAATATTTAAGCTATAGCATTGTGATTTTACTGCTGGCTCAAAAACAATTGACCAACTCTTATTCTGACAACAGAACGTTTAATCTGGAGACATTTGGTCCGATTAAAAAAGCAAATAATTAACAATTATCTGTTGGTATAAATCCTATAAAGTGTACTGTGGTGGGAAAAAAACGATTCAGTAGTACCGAGTGAGTCCTATAATAGTGAATACTGAAACAAGAAACATTGAGGAAAGAAGTTTGTCTTTAAAGTATTTATCCTCTGGCCAGAGAAGGCTTCACCGTCATACAGACTGCAGTTCAGTCTGCAAAGGAATCAGCCAAGAATCCAGTGTCTCTCTTGCTTATAAGCATCTCAGCACACAGCAGGGGGGAACATCAGGTATTTACATTATCACAATAGATCAGCAGTTTCAAGCTCCCCATTGACCCCTCCAGTCATCCCCTTCCTCTTCTGAGCCTTGTCACATGAAGACATGTGTCTTTATTACCTTTGATTATCTCTGGCTATCTTCACACCTCAACATTCTTAAACTGCAACCCCCATTTGGTTACTTCCCCTTATCAAAGCAAAGGCAGAGATAACCCATATGGTCCTGTTACCACTCTCCTAGTTTACAATCATATGTCACATATATAGTTTTGTTAGTGAGTAAGGCACATAAACTAAGTCACAGTAGAAATGTACTAGCACGGGGAAAATTCTCTATCACAGTACCTCCAAATAAAATGGGACAGTTTGTTTTTAAAGATGATAGTCTTTGTAGAGAGTCGTGTCCTCCCTCTGCATAGGTGAGTGCACTTCAGTTGCCCTCAATGAAACAACAAGGTCTGTGGTGGATTATCATTTTTGAACGACGTCATTCTAATTAGAAATATATTTTTGGTGCCTTGAACACCACAAATTAAAAACAGAGCTCCACTTCATTGGAGCAGGTAGAGCCAGTAAAACTTCAGCGAACCACAACATGGCGTATTGTGCCTCTGGGTTGATCGATTCCTTTAGATCTGCATCTGCATACTTTACGTTTACTGCCGTTGAAGTGAGTTGTCGAATAGTTTTGATCATTTGATTGAGTAGCAACATGTCTTACCTGTGGAAAAGGTCTCTGTCCATCATCACCTCACCAACAGAGTCCTTCTCAACCTGTCGAAGCTCCTCCATGCAGTCCTTCAGACGAGGGTCTGATGGGTGAAGGCCGGTTTTCTTCAGGGCCTGCAAAATGACAATGGACCAGATGAATATACAGACAGCCAGGTGGATGCTTGGTAGGTGAGGCTGGCGAGTCTTTAAGCCACTTACTAAGGTAAAGTATGAAACAGGGACTTGTTCTTTTCCCTCTGTGATGGTGTAGAAAAGCAGGTCTTCCACTCCCAAGCTGGGGGACTTTGAATGAACGTTCCTGATGAAGTGAAGATTAAACTCTCAAAAACAGAAAGCAAACATTGTTGTTTTTGACATGACATAGCAGGTCAACACAATGGTCATTGTACTTATGTGTCACAGCCATTCCAGTGAACCAGCATGCACGATACCAGCACCCTGGCCCACCTAAAAGAAACAGGGTGATAATTAATGTTATTAATTGCACCTGTGTTTACCCTGTAATTACATATCGAAAAGGCTGACAACGAAATATCATAATGTAACAACACACGGCTACAGAAGACATAGCTGAGATAATGATTTCTTCTAAAATTGCTGCTTATTTTCGTTAAACCGTTCAATCATGCAAAAAAAATGAAAGAAGCTAATGTCATTAGTAGGTGACCGACACAAGAAACAAGAACTTTAGATACATTCACATATTCAGTATAACAAGAAATATTGCATTCACTTTCTATATGTGTTATGATGTTCACGACATACTGTATTAAATACAGGATTTTTCTTTCTGTTGTTTTTTTTTATATGTGCACCTGCAGTTTGCATGCAGGAGATTCTCTCTTTGAAACTCTGTTGTGTGCCTCACGTTGCTTTAAATTTAAACACTCTAACATCAAAGAGCTGACTCTATAATTTATAGCCGACACATGATGAGAACTGACACCTGGCCTGATATGACCACCTGCGTAGCTACTGCTCATATGCAGTATTTCTATATATATATTTTTAATACTTCTTAATACTACTATAACAACAGGCCTGGGTGTCAAGTGTTGATACTGAACTGTTGTTCTTCACCCGGAGACACTTACGTTTTGAGATGGAAGTGATCCAAGTGTGTAGGCGGTGGTTTCTGGGCCGTCGTTGTTGAGTTGTTTGTCAGGCAACATGCTGGCTGGATGATGAAAACCTTCTTGGCCGCATCTGTGTGTTTGACGATCAGTTGTACGGAGCTGGACAGACGCAGCGCTCTCAGGCAGTGCATGGCTCCCCACAGAGCCGCTTTGACAGCTCGGTTTAACGGCTAACCGATACAGCAGGTAACACTGACCGCTGGTAGTTAAGAGCAGTTTTCAAGCGGCTCCTGTCAGGTCACTGACTTTCATATGGCGAGCTGAAGTTTTGTTGCCTTCAGGTGTCGTCGGGAATTTTGTTCTTTCGACTCTTGAACTTTTTTTTTTTTTTTTTTTTTTCCGCCAGGTACCTTGAAAAGTAACATTTCTTCAATTGGATTGCTGAACCCTTTTGAGGTAATTGTACTTAACTTGAGTATTTAAATTCAGCTAAGGCTACTTTATACTTTTATCAGACACTTATTTCATTTTAGAGGGAAATATTGTAGGATAGACTACTTTTTACTCCACTACTTTTAGGCTATTAATACCTTTAGTTAGGGGACGGATTATGATGTATTAAGATGGATAAAGATATGACTTTATTTATCCCCTTTGTGAAATGTACTAGCTACCTGACAATAGCCAATAGTTTTAAAAAAAAGAAAAAAAGCCACACATTTACCAGCTGCAACTTTAAAGTAATATACATATTAATACATCAATAATTAGATTTAGAAATATAACATACATTCTTTTACACTGGGCCATACTGCATGATGAGATAAGCCTTCTTTCACTTTTTGTACTTCAAGTATATTTTTAGTTCAGCTATACTTTTACTAAAGTACAATTTTGAATGCAGTCTTGTACCAGAGTATTTCTGTACTGTGGTATTGCTACTGTAACTATAGAAGATCTGAATACTTCTTTCATAACTGGTTAAAATAATCATTAATTTGCCTGATATTTAGCACATTTATGCACTTCAATATACAAAAAGTAGTTCTGGAACTCTTGACTTTAGAAAAAATAAAACTCTCGGCATCACACCCATAAGCTCACAATAACCGATTAAGCGCCACTCGGTTTTTTACGAGGTGCACGTGAAGGCATCAGGGGGTTTAATGCGTAAAAAAAACAAAAAAAAAAACCCTCGTGTGGCAGCTGTCGCTTGACTGACAGATGAAGTGGCCAATCAGGGGTAGAAATGTATTTTGGTGAGCAGAGGTCTGCCATGAGGACTTCATGGGTGTCAGTCAGGATGCGTTTAACGTTTTGTTACCATACAATTCAGTATTATGAACGAAACAGACCAACAGTATCAGGGTGCCAAGAGCTATGATGGAATCAAAACATAACCTCACACCTGTCACTAATTAAGTCAGGGATATGTAAGTCCAAGAAAGCCTTTGACCTGTTGTGTAACAACACATGGTCAGCTAACAAGCCTCTTGGTTTATTATTATTATAACCACCAGCTGAACCTGTTCAGTACATAGCTACTGTCAATGTGGCTTAACTGATAACTAACTGAACTGATAGCTTAAATGTACTGTCTGAGCAACAACACATGTTATTAAGGCAAATACAAGTGAATTAAATGTGAGTGAACTTGAAAGTATGTAACTACACGACCATGTATCATGTATTATGTATGTACTATATCAGAAACATCATTTCCCAAGTTTTCCCTTGTTTTCTTTTGATAGACAAACACTAAAATATTATATAGTTTGGAGAGTAATGCATAATAGTGACAACAAAATGCCTTCTTGTGTGTCACGCAGACTTATGTGAATTTCCAAAATGCTGGTAAAGCTTTGCGTGTTCTGACTTTCAATGTGAGTTGAGAATAAAAACAAAATGTGCCATATCATATTTTTTGCATGGAAGGCTTGTTGCTCTTTCTTTTATTTGTGTATACAATATGCTGATCATTGCATTCTGAGAGTCTCTTGATAGTAAAATCCATCCATATCAAGGAACATAAATAACAGTGTCAAAAGGCACAGCATTGTGTTAACAAACAAAACAATTATTAAACAGTAAATTACACAATACAGATTCATTATTTTCTCTCATATTGTCTAAAGGTCTCAAAAAAAAAGAAAACCAAATACTTTTACATGCCAGATTATAAAATAGGAGCAACATCAAGTCACTGCATGGCCAATGTAGATAAGGAATATGGGTATTTTGAAAGGCAAAAGATTCATTTCTTTAAGTCAACCTCTGCACTGCATCAAAATGACACAAAATGACACAGAAACCGCTGATAACTTTGAAGACATTTCATCAAAGTGATCATGAGTTACACGCTCTTTGACGGGCGAGGCAGCACCAGCTTCAGCCCAATGTCAACTACACAGGAAGGCATGTAAGAGAGGGGGATCCAGATAAGCTTAGCATCCCAGCCGGGGCTGTATCTGGTGCGTGGGTGAGCAGCAGTCAGAGCGTGCTCCATGCAGCCGGTCACCTTGGAGAGGTCCGTGTCGCAGATAGCATTCATGATCAAACGCTGGACCTTGATGTCTGAAAATGAGAATATATATAACATATATATTTTGTACTTGATGGCATTTTTTTTTTACTTCCCCCTTGAAATGTATATGTATCGTATATTGAGTGAGATTCATGATACTTTTTAAAGGTATATTATGTAGGATTTGGTGGCATCTAGCGGTGGGGTTGCAGATTGCAACCAACTGAAACTTCCCCCGTGGGGCGAATCGTGTAGGAGAACTAAGGTGGCCGACACAAAGTCGCAGAAATGCGAATGGCCCTGTCTAGAGCCAGTGTTTGGTTTGTTCAGTTGAGGCTATACTGTAGAAACATGGCAGCCAGCTCCGTGAAGACTATCCGTATACAAAAGGCTCATTCTAAGCTGACGCAACGATTCCTATTTTTTTCAGTGATTAAGCACTACAGAAAACATTCATATCAAAGCCGGTGGCTCACAGGTAACGATAGAGCAGCACTAACAGTGCAAACAATGCCGAAAATATAAAATATAAGAATGTTTAATATAGCTGCTTTTACATTATATTCTATTTCTGCCAATTGATGCTCCTAAATGCTACACAATGGACCCTTAACGTCGTTAAAAAGTATTTTTATTTGGAATTTTTATGTTGCCTTCAGGTACAGCTAAGCAGCTTGTCTTCAGGAAACAAATTCAATGGGACTTTTAACTTTCACTATCACTTCACAGGTTTATTTGAAATGTGACAGGATTATTTTTTTTAAATCTGTATCTGTTTTATATTTGTGATTTTGATCACAATCAAAAGACAGTGATGCTTACTCATAGTTTGAAATAACGATTAGCAGTCTACTTACATTTATCGAGGTACTTGTCTCCATAGCTGGCTTGTACTTCAGGGCTGAGCTGGTTCCACAGGCGATGCAGCTCCCTCTCGAGGGGTTCCAGGCTCGTCACTGCGGTCTTGAAAAACCCCGGCTCAATGATACACACATTGATTCCAAAGTAGTTAATATCTCTCCTGACAACAGAAACGTCACGTAGAGTAACATAAAACATGACATGCGCATAGATTTATATAGACAACAGAGATTTAAACAAGTTTGTGACACCGGCCGCAACCTTTTGATCGAACGTTTTATATTAGAAATGGGCTTTGTGGTTTGAGCGTAACAAATAAAAACCCAATAGTCTATTAAATAAACACAGTAAGACTGCCTGGTCTCATGAGCCAATATTTGTCTGCCTGGAATATGCAGAGGCAGTTTGTTTTGTGTATTACTGTAATTTGTTGAATGGGAGGTGTTTTATTGCTCTAAATGTGTGTTATTGTTCATCTTTTATTAAAAAAAAAGAGAATGTCTAATATAAAAATCTGTCTACAAACCCAATATCCCTCATGGGACATTGACGATGTGAAGATTGCAACTTGAATGCCTATTTGTTCTTATAACTAGAAGATAGGGTTTTCTAAAAGTTAAGGATAACTGGCTCCACAAAATACTTTCTTTGTGTTTAATGAAGCACATCGGTTGTTACAGTATACGCTCTTTTTACCTGAGGCAGTCCGAGAAAGACTCCACTGCAAACTTGGAGATGCAGTATCCACCACCGTTTGCAGCCACCCTGCCCAGCACCGACGCTACGTTTACAATACGGCCGCGAGCCTTTTTGATGAGGGGCAGGAAGGTCATTGTCATGGCAATCACTCCATTCATGTTGACTTTCAGTACGCTGTGGAAATCCTCCACTTTCATCCACTCTGAAGGACCCATGGGCAGTGAGCATCCAGCGTTGTTCACAACACCCCAGAGTCCTGCGAAGAAAACGAAAGACAAAAAGTGGACGTATATGTATCTTGTGTTGCAGATCGGCCTTGTGGAATTTGATCGAGTCAGTCATCCCTTTAATCAAACAATGCAGCATCATCTCTCACCCTTATCGCCGACCTCCTTCTTGGTCCACTCCATGGCTTTCTGGATGCTGTCCTGACTGGTCACATCCAGAAGGACAGTCTTCAAATAAGGGCCCGCCGCCCTCTTCAGGTCATCTGCTCCCTTTTCTGTGAGACAGCCAGCGAGCACGTGGAAACCTTTTCGATCGAGCTTCTTACACAGCAGGTTTCCAAAGCCCGAGTCGCAGCCGGTCACAAAGACATACTTCTCAGTGACGTCCTCGATCTCCAGGCTGTCTCGGTACAGCCACACGAGAATCCACAACACCACAAAGGTGCCACTGATGTATGAGCAAGCATTTTCCCTGAAAGAGAACGGCGAGGAGACGAAGGCAGGGATTTGACTTTGAGAAAATATTCTAGAGGAGTAAGCCTGGAGGTTCAACGCTTTGGTGACAGCAGCCAAATTACTGCAGAAAATCTAGTGTAGCATCATGTATTCTTACCCTAAAACATCATAGACAAACTGCATATCCATGCTGCTTCCAGGATTAGAAGTGAGTCCTTGGTCACCAGGAGGACTTAGTGCTTGCTAAAAAAGTCGAGCAAATGTTATTGACATGGCAAACTGCCACATTAGATTTTACAGGATTGGAAAGTAGAAATACTTCAGATGACTTATTTCAGGAATCCCCATGACCAAATCCCTACTCTATTTCATCATATTGTAGGGTTCATGGAACTTCTCTGATAACTAAGGGAAACAATGAGTTCGTTCACAGAGCGCCTTGAAATATTGAACTGCTCTGGGCACATGAGAAATCTTTGGTTAATACTCTTATGGGAGAAAGAAAGGTATTTGGGAGGGAGGGGGCCCCGAGGAGGGAGGGGCACATTGTTTTGAAGCATAAATGTACTGCCCGTGACCTAGCTGCTTATGCTGCTCATTAGCTGAAAACCAATTAGTTCCCCAGCTTATTAGTGGTTAAAAGATACTTCTATGGCCTATTTTATCCATGAAATCAAATTTGCCTGCAGACTTAAGTAAGTTTTAATTAATAATTAGTTTATATATTGTTGATGTTAGCTTGAGAACATTAGGTAAAACACAATTGACCCTATAAAATGAGGGAAATTTAATTTAGTTTCTCAACACTAGTTAACATATTCTGAAAAATATAACAGAATACCTCAAAAATATATACAGTATATCAATATAATTTGCAGGTAAAACTATTCAAACTCAAACCCCAATTAGGCTACTGCTTGCTGTAAGCTTTTTTTTATTAACTTGTAAACGAATTGTTTCATGGATTAAATATGAGACATTCGCAACAGGAAATTGGGATCATTGTCAATATTACAGAGTTTAATGAGCAGAAAAATAAATCAGAGCACACAAGAATGAGAAAGTACTTCGTTTTAATTCAACAGTAAGAGAGTTAATTTCATAAAAACTATATTATCCTACCTTTTCCTCTTTTTGAGAAGTGATGGATCTCCACAAGTTATCCGTCCTCTTCCCTTTCCCTTTCAGGTTATTCTTCTGTGTTAACTCAGAGAGGCTGGTCAGAGAGAGGCTTTATCCCTTTGGTTTATCCTTTAAGACAAGTCCGCAATTGGTAATCCCCAATCCGTAACCACTGGGTCTGTGCATGTGTGTGTGAGTTTAAGAAAGAAAAAGTGGTGGGAATTACAGCAAACATCACAACTTTCTGAACACAATGTGAAGTCGGATATCATATAACTTTGTTTTTTGTTGGGTAACTGCTCACAGTACATGATCTACTTTTCATGACATCAGGTTCTTTGAAGAAGTCGACATGAAATCTTGCTTGTTCCTTTTATTAGAACCTGGTGGTTCTCAGGGTATACAGAAGAAGTACTTTATGTTTTAAGAGTGTTAAAACAAACTTAGAATAAGCCTGCATGTCAAAGCCTCGTGCACCCTTAAACAACGTGTTTAATCTCATTGGCCCCCCTTGTTCACTGACCTATTATATCAGTCTTAACGCTGAAACAATATGTGCAGTATACTCTGTAACTGCACTCTGTGCTGCACGTTTTGAGACTGGTCAGCTGGTAGTGCAGAGATGTTGAACGTTAACAAGAAGTGGCCATTGTATTGTACATTGTATTGCGGCTTATCAATGTATTTATTCAACAAAACCCTGATGCAATAATAAGGAAAAGTATTTTGTGTAAATGTGACTTGCTTCACAAATGCATCCTCCATAATAAAACTACCTTTAGACTTGCCGGAAGGACGTTTGTCAAAATGTTGTCTTGAACAAAGACATATATTAAACTGCGGATATGAGCGTGACGAAAGACTCAAACTGAAGGATCATGTGTTACAAACTGCATCTTTCATTCATTCATTCATTCATTATCCAAACCGCTTATCCTGCTCAGGGTTGCGGGGCACTGGAGCCGATCCCAGCTGACATTGGGCGAAGGCAGGGTTCACTCTGGACAGGTTGCCAGTTCATCGCAGGGCAAACTGCATCTTGACTCTGGTTTTCTATTGTTTTATTATGCAATGAATTTATGTAATTGGTTACCCAACACGGCTGCAATTTCATGAGTGAATTTAACAGCCACGTGTGTCACGACACACCTTCCACTAATAATCCAATCACCATAGCCAAGCTAATATTTATCCAGTTATAATAGTTAGTGGATTATCAGTAGTTTTATTACAATACTTTTAAACCGTAAATGTATGTTACTACTTTGACATTTGACCTTCTGTTTTCATAAAGGCCACCATTAAACCATCACCCAAACTCCAATCCTTGACCCGGAAGTCCTTAAGAACTATAAAGCATCAAACGTGTGTTAAAGTCTGAGAGTCCTAACTCAAATGTAAATGCTCATCAGCGCTCTCACAGTTCTGGTAGTTTTCCTGATCACTACTGACACAGATTGTGAGTTTTTAACATCCAGACCAGAGGATCTTTTTTGAAGTATAGCCTGCTCAAACTTACCTTCATGCTAATTTGTCTTTTCATATCACAGCTGTTGTGAACATTTGTATTTATACACACTTAAAGTGGTCGATTAAATGTATTACACCAGTGTATTGTTTGATTTTATTAAAAAAAAATGTTCCAACGGGAACAAAAGTCAGTGAAGTTGTCTGACAAGAACAGTAAATCACGTATAATACATTAAAATATACACACAATTTAAGTATCAGGTGCTGAAAAGAAGCCTTCCTATAAAACGCTTTTAGGAGATACGACAGACAAGTATCTCCTAACATCACTGTGGTCGATAATCATACGCTTGAAAGAATTTAATGACTTGCTATTATTGTACAAGGTGCGACAGTGAACATTGCCCTAAAACACAGACAAGTCATTGGTTAAACATGGCCGTCCTATGATCAGAGCTCGGGCTCGTGATCGCTCACAGAGGCAGAATAATGATGCTCGACAATGTGTACATGTATACAAAGAAGCTTTGTGGCCGGTGGCAATTTGTCTGTGGCCCCTTATGCATATTTATATTTTTTTCAATTACCAAGACACAAAAACTGGTACTTCGGTCATAATTATTGAAACCCCTGACTCATGTAGCCAATATATTGACCAGGTATGCTAAATCATAAGCACATTTTCTCATTTACACCAAGTTTAAAAACGTTTTTTTTTTTGCAAATAGCTGAACAGCTATCGACATTAAACACATCTTTCAGAAACTAAAAGCCTTTGTGGGTTGTTAGCTAAACACTGCTATTGAAATACCACACATTTAATTATCAAGTCGCCTGCACCCAGAATGCACATGTGAATACACCTGTAACCAGTGAGATCAGTTAGAAATCATAGCTGGAACACTATAAATAGGATTCAGGTTTGCTCTTTGGTTTGCACAACAACAGAGGCCAATTCTGGAGAGAAAGTTAGAGGAAGTAATTGCAATATACCGAATTTTGCTTAAAAATACAATTATGTTCAATGAAATTGTGTTTGATTCTGTTATAAAAATGTCAAAGACTTCAGATAATAGTGTTTTGTACCTGTTTTTATGGTTTTGAGTGAAGTGTTTGCTATTGTAAGATATATATGATTTTGTATGTTGTGTACGTTTTCTGTACGGTTAGTTTTAACAAAGTGGGCCTGTTTCAGAAATTGTGTTTTAACAACTGCAAAAAATTGTGACAAGCAGGTGAACCAAGATTTTATATGCGACGCCTTCAAAACTCCATACTGACATAGCACATCGTTCAATAACAGACTGCCTGAATGTTATTGATTCATTGAAGTCACCACTAAATAGATGTTAGACCCATTTCAAACTGTCAGCAGTTCACTGAACAAAGTAAGCGTCAGAATTACTACACTCTGCGGACGAGCCAAGTCATCGCTGCTTCCATCTTTGCCGATACTGGCTCTTCATTCCAGTGCGTTTAGGTTCAGCTGTGAACATCCCAGCATGAAGTTTATGAGGAAGCAGACTGCAGTGGACCCTTGTGTACGTACTCCAGAGCTGTGGCAATGGTCCTCATGTCCATCTCAATACTGCGGGCCCAGTTCTCCACATCCCCAATTTCCTGTTCAAATGAGAGTACAGAAACAGAAGTAGCATCATTAGTGTATGTCGATCAGTCTTGCCTATTATCAGGACCGGCAACATGCATCATTTCCAGACACCCTGTCTCCCCTGTGAGGATGACATAAGCTGGGTAATTGTAGAGGGAGTGGAAACTCATTCATGAATTGCTTTTAGCAGCTGTCGAATCCGCTCAGATCCAGGACCTGTGTCGGGGCCCTTCAATTAAACTAATCTGCTATTAGTAAAATATAAACCTGAGGAACAAAACAAGTTTGCAACAAGACAATGTTTGTGGTATTATTATTTATATTTGAACAAGGTGCACAGTGGGATAAGACAGTATACGTATATGGTTGTGTCTGCATTAAGCAATACTTAGTGATATTAACACCGAGTCTTAGTACTCAATATAATGTAAGACGGTCACTCACACAGAGTGCTGAAGCAACTCATAATACACCAAACATTTAACTTAATTAAATGTGATGCTGACTGCAGGTGCTTCTATCAGGTATATGATATTTAGGACCTCATATTATTTACAGAAAACAACTTTTCATATTGCCATAAAAAGTAAGGGCACTTATTGATTTGACAGCTGTAGACTTAAAACCGTATAAAGGTTATATAAGCAGATCACGTGACAGAAAAGCCTCATGGACAGTGTATCCTACCTTTAGGGCCTGATTGAAACCCTCCACCATACTGATCCACTGAGCAGTTTGTTTGGAGAACTGGCTCGCCTGCACTTGGAGAGTCTTCACCTCATGGTCGAGCTTACGCTGGTTTACGTATGCCTGGGCCACTCTAAAGTTAAACAGGAAAGGATTTTTAAAAAATTAAGCGCTACAGTATCACTTATTAATGAAAATATAGCATTATGTATAAATATGTTGTTGCATGTGGGGGCGGATTTGTATTTGACAGTGCAAAGTCTAAATCATATCAATTTCTCCATTCAAACAGAAAACATACTGCGTTATTCAAACTAGACGACATCTTACCAAGTCACAAAGGGATTTTAGTACATAAGCGTTTTCATAAAACACCGCATCCCACTCTTGTTCTTTAAGCTGATTGTCTTGGTTTCATCACAACTTTCACAATGTCAACAATCTCAATGTACTATTAGTGGTTGTGTCACACACTGCCAAGAATGTATGGCTTTATTTTACTGGCTCAGACAGAGGTGTTGGTGGGTCAGCTTGGCAGTAATCTGTTAGGGAACCATGGGACCCAGAAAATCTACACCTGTGACTTCAGGGAACGTGTTTATGACGCAGCAGCAGCAGGACATATACCTCGTTTTAGGAGCAGGGGTACAGTATTCATCCACTGTTACTGGACCAACACAAAGAGAATTTGCTTTAAACTATAAAATTAATATAATTTAATATTCAGTAGCAACCTTAATCGTCTATCACCACGACAAATACGGTGGTGCTGAAATCATTAGCTAATAAAAAAAAAGAAAAATAATCTTCAACATTTGCTGTTCCATCTTCTCAAAAGTGATGATTTCCTTTCTTTTCTGTTTATCATTTTGACTTGAATATCTTTAGATTTTAAAGCTAAAAAATCATTGGAACAAATCAGTGGATTTGGTATTTTTCATTATTGTCTGACATTGTATTGACTATACTTACAATATTAGTAATTTACAGATAAATCAATAGCAAAAATATTTGCTAAAACAGCCTCAATATCATTACAGCCGACATGAGTCAATCAACAGAAAATGATTTGCCAACTATTTTAATAATTGATTTATCATTTCAAATGTAATTTCCCCAAGCAAAAACACCAAACATTTGTGTTTTGTATAATTGTTAACTGAATATCTTTGGGTTTTGGAATGTTTGTCAGACAAAGCAAGACATTTGAAGACATCACATGGGGCTTCAGGAAATTGCAACAGGAATTTATTTAAAGTATTCTGACATTTTGAGTAATCAAGAACATAATTGGCAGATTAATCGAGAATAAAATAATCGTAGTTAAAGTTTACGACAACATAATTCAAGCCAACTGTACAAACTAGTGCAGATGATTTACAGCAACAGGTCAAACTAAATATAAGTGATACCTTATGTTGGGTAAGTTTGTGAACCAGGTGGCAACAATCTGTAAAATCAAGAATTTGACAGAATGATGTGCAGTATACCTTTTACTGGGACGTATCTCACTACTTAGTGAGGGTGCCAGGATGTCAATACATCTCATATCCTACCACTACCTCTCCACAACTATGAAATAAATCAGCAGGATGTCTGCCAGACCTATGACAAAAACATAGACAGCAGGGGTGTAGGAGCAGGATTTACATACCCGACATTGAGGTGGTCTACCAGAGCTTCTGTCAGACAGGTGGCTGCAGCGATAGCTTCACGTCTGCGTCTCTCTGTGCAAGTAAAAAGATCAACACAGACAACTAATTCGTCAGCACTATTGTGTACCAACGGGGCCGTCTGAGACACTCTATCGGCTTTGTTTTTAGCATCTATTAGCATGATAGCTAACCAGCTAGCAGTCACTCACCCTGCTGCTCCTTCCGCTCATTCTGCTTCGCCTGGTGCTCCTTCAGCAGACGAGACAACATCTTTAGTGGTTGTGGAGATGAATTTGCAATTTATTTTTTTTATCTTTTAACTAACGTTGGTTGAGTAACATGGCTATACAACCAGAGACGTTGGAGATGCTATCAGCTGTCTTGTAATGTTACAACCGCTATCACGAGACCTAGCTCAAGGACGACAGGAGTGGGCGTGCCAAAAAATGGCGTCTCGCATGCCACCATTTATCATAATCAATGCAATGATATTACATTTTTGTTATTAACTAACGCAAGACACAGTGTAGGGATCAGACCAGCTAACGTTAGTAGACTGAATGGTAGCTCCAGAATTTAAAAATGCATGTAATCGCTCTTTATTTTATAATTTAGTTAGGAAAATTAGTTTTATGGTGACGTCAATATCAGTTGCAACGTCATGTCGTTTTAACCTTCAAAATAAAAGTGTAAATAACACTATTATTGCTACAACTACAACTACAACGCCTACTTATACTGCTATTACTACGACTACTACTATTACTGCTACTGCTACGATTACTGCTGCTACTAATATGTTTAATGATACATAATAATAATAATAATAATAATAGCAATGTTATAACTAAATTGTGAAGTAGAAGACAAGAATGTTCAGTAAAATAACATAATTACACAACACATCCAATGGGCAAGAGACATGATTGAAAGGGGAAAAAGGTAGCAACACACATTTCTTCTGGCAGGCTTCGGTCATTATTGGTGTTATGACCGAGTACAGTCCATTCATCATTAATGTAAGTAATAAAAGAGAAAATATTATTCTCAATTTTACAGTATAACAATTGCAACCTGAGGTTCAATAGCTTCTCCAGAGCGTTCAATGTTTCGCGGTCCTCAAAGTGCCATGAATACACTCCATAATAGCTACTGAGGTTCCAAATCAGATCAGGCAACATTTTATTGTGAAAAACTTGTAGCGGAAAACCTGATCATGTTCTGGCTAGCGGAACATAAGGCTATGGCGATGGCAGGCTGTCAACAACGTAGGAATAGCCGAAATTGAATTCTGCTTGGCTCTTTATCGTCTGCTTCTGCCAGGTATGGTCATCCAGCGTTAGTCTTTCACCGAAGAGAAGGATATATTCTCGGCTGAACGATCGAAGCTGCGTGAGGAGCCGTGTGGTGTTAGCATTACTAACGTTACTTAATGCACGGTTAGCTTATGCGTTGCTGTTCAGGACGTCGGAGAACAAAGTTGCCCCAGGTGGTGGAACTTCTCGGTTTCTCTCAGTTATTCACAAAAAACACCCAACGTTAGATTACATCCCATAATACACCTTAGCAATATCACGGTCTAAACTGTTATTCTTCTAATGGGTCGTGTTTGAAGTTGTCTTGACAACAAATCTCCCGGCTAACCCCTTGCTAACATGACAGATAACGCTACTAAGCTACAGTTGTAACGTAACGGCCTTTATGTTACAGATAGCAGGGCGCACGTCGCCTCTTTTACAACTTTATGTTACTGTCTGATATCTACTTAATATGTGTATGTTAAACTGTAACCCATCCCTGTTGTCTAGTATTTAAAATAAGTTAACTTATTGTCCTGCCAAAGGATAGTGTCTAAGATTAGCAAGGACGGTTTAGTGAGTCTTACTTAAGCCAAGTTAAGGATGGGATTTTCCGTTATGGTTACGTTACATGGTGGTTTCTTGAAATAGCTAAGCTAACTATGTCAGTGGGGAACATGCATTTTAGTGGTCTGACATTAAAATGATCTTAAATCCACATAGTGTATAAAATAATATTGTACACGGTGACTTAGACAGTGTCAGGCAGTAATAAGGTTCAATAAAAATGTCATTGCCTTTCAGTGTGATTATTATACAGTTAACATTATGTAAAAACGTGCCCACAGTTTAGTTTAAATACATACTAAAAAGCAAATTCACATGACATGTTTTGCTTAGATTTTATTGTGAAGATCAAAAGTTAGGTCATATATTTGATTTAGGGTCACCACAATGCAACTCTTTTAATGTCTCCAGATATCTAAACTGTACACACCCCTTTGTTCAGTTAGATAGTCTCATCAATCTATACCTGCTATCGCATGTAAAGCCAGGCTATATTTTCCAGTGACAGTAGCAACCCAACAGCCTAATCACTCTGTAAGGTTACCTGCACAGAGTGCCCCATGTTTACATCTGGTGTCACTGGTTGCATTTGTTGCAGATCCTTTCGGTGTACCCAAACCAGGCTTCAGTGTTATGGATGAACCATGAAGGCCCAATTACAAGTCACAGGTAACTTATCAGTTGTCATTGCAATATTTGTAAGCTCGCTTATCAAATAAAACTAGACACCTATTTGACGAATTGATACAGTTGTAGAGTTCAGTATTGTCTGACTTTGGCTATAGGAAGCTAAAGGCTATGGGATGTTTAAGTTCCTGTAGTTAAAAAAATGTTTTTGGAGCTGTTGCTGACTTGTTGTTTTCAGTACAGCGAAGCTACAGGAAGTGGTGGTTTGTATTCATGTTCATGGTATTAGCAAGTTGTTGCATCTTTACCAAATGCAACTTCTGATCCATTGTGATCAGATCTACTGAAAGTTACACTACCTACAATTTCAATGTGGTGTTTTATCCTCTCTAGTGCTTTCAGCCAAGCTGAAGGAAAACAGAAAGAACTGGTTTGGTCCCAGCCCTTATGTCGAGGTAACCGTGGATGGCCAGTCAAAGAGGACTGAGAAGTGCAACAACACACACAGTCCCAAGTGGAAACAGGCTGTCACAGTGTGAGTATGACTTCCTGTCATAGGAAAGAAATCAGGTTATTAAGTATCAGATGATGGAATACAAATATGATTCATTTGAACTGAATTTCAACTACATACAACATTGTGGGGTTATTAGCATTTTAGTTGCAGGTCTGTTTCTTTTGTAATGTTACTGAGCTGGGACTTTGGTGATTGTGTCAATGAGGGCAGTCAAAATACTTGGAGGGCTGAATGAATATTTGATGTATCTGAATGAAAACAGCCCCCCAACACTTTAAACCTTATTGTGGTTTCTGTGCCATGGAGATAGGGCCCAGTGTGTACAAATAAGTAAGTAACTGGTGAAACTAATACACCACCTCAGGGGCATTTTATTAGTAAATCTCTGCAGCACTGTACCTCAAATCTTTAAATGTGTCTATTTTTGCCACCCTAAAGCCTTGAAGGGACGTCTTACAGTTGCCTTGTGGCATTCTATAGAACTGCAGTGATGTCAAACAAACGACGACTATGAATCCTTTCAGCATTAGTGCCAACCATCCTTCATCTTTTTCTCTGGTGGTGACTATCATGTCATTTTCTTGCTTATCTACAGAATTGTTACTCCGGTCAGCAAGCTGATATTTCGTGTTTGGAGCCACCAGACACTGAAAGCAGACATCCTGTTGGGAGTGGGCCTACTGGAGATCAGTGAGAGCCTTAAGGCTAACGACCTGAAACGTGAGTTCACATGACTCTCCTTGCTAATCTTGTGTTTCCTTAAGTCAAACCAACAACGTTGTGTTATAAATCTTGTTTTAGCACAAGGCTATTTGGTAGTTTGGAGCTAATACTGTCTAGCCTCTTCGGGTTGAGTCCCACGGAGTATTAAGAGACATTCAGGACAAAGTTCTTTATTTCAGGGTAATGAAAAGTGAATCCCTTGTAATCTCACTTTCAGTATTAATTTTGTGTTTACGTCTATCAGCCGTGTAATGTGTTTGGCAGATGTTGCACACATTGTAGACTCTGCACACTTGTGTAAGAGTACATATCTGCCTGTGTTTGTTATGAGACTGCTTTATTGGGCTTTGATGAGCTTAAAAACCAACATGCACAGTAACCACTAGGTTCTCCTTTCCCTGGGATTCAGACCTAACCTTATGACCTTCCACTTGCTTGGACTGTGTTTACAGCATAATACAATGGCTCACCTCGGCATGAGCAAAGCAGGTTACATAAAAGGCTGGTCCTTGCTCTATGTAGCTGCTTCCTTTTCATTTGCAGAGAGTAAAAAAAGATTCTAAGAAACCTTGCCAGTAGCCCCTGGAGGCCATGCTGCTTGTTACACCCTATGTGACTAAAGTGGTTTGAGCTGACAAGAGTGACAGACGCTGCCATAGAGCCCCATACTCTCAAATACCCAGAGAAAGTGACGATTACAAAGGGACAAATTATTTATTTTTTTTATTGGGAAAAGTATGTACATTTAGTGGTAATTTCTACGACCTCAGCGCAGCCTCAGCATCATCTGTTTTCATTTTGTTGTGATGAAGCGTGATGTCAGTCTTGCAAAATTACAAGCACCTGTTTAACACTGTGTTCTGTACCCTCTGCAGTTTGTGAGGTAGTGCAGACACTGCAGCTGTGCTCTGACAGAGACCCTCGGGATGTTGTTGGCGACCTGTCGGTCTGTCTGGACGGCATGCAGGTAGACCCGGAAACCTTTGCCTCGGCAGAGAGAGAACATGGTAAAGAACCACACACAGACACAAACCCACCATACTAGGTCGACCACGGGAACAATTTGAGCACATGAACTATGCAAAGATTTACAAAAATCTATTGATTTAGCTGCTATTAAGAGACTCTCCCATCATTGCCCTTCTAAATTTGCCTGATAGTCATCAGTATTTGTAAAAAAAAAAAAAAAAGGCTTTAACCACTTCTTTTATTACCAACTTAACTCATCACAGATGTATGGAGATCGGCATATTTGTCATACTTTAGTTTTTCACTATGAAATGTGCCTCTCTGTACATATCTTTCTCACAATTCTTAAATAACCAGCAGTAACATCCCAAATTGTTTTAAGTACATGATGTCACTTGTCTTTTTCTCATTCTAGCTACTCTTCCAAATGGAATTGCAAAAAGAAATGGAGACACTGGCAACAGGTGCATTAAACCTTTATTTATAGGCATACATATACGTGCTTCTTTGTACAAATCTTGGGTCAAATCTCTTTTTGTGTGTTTACTTAAAGAAAGCACTCATTGTATACCTGTAGAATAACTTCAGAGAATATCTTGATCCCCAGGTCAAGCAGAGACACATCCCCCTCCAGTGACTCAGAGGAGTGGGTTATTGTACCGAATGGTCACGCCGTCAATGGTGCGGGTTCTCCTTCACGATCTCCAGGGGGCTCCAACGGCCCGCGTCCTCCCAGACCAGCCCGGCCTCCTCCTCCTACGCCTCCCAGACCAGCAGCCTCACCGAGTAGGAAAAGCACAAGATATCAAAGATTTTACAATACGACATTCGCTACATTACATTAGCGATTTACAATTTGACACAACAGTCATTTCACACTCTCGCACACATCGATTATCTTTCAAATACAGAAATGGTGTGTGCATTGTGTTCAGTGACTGCAATCATGCCAAATACACCTCTGCGAATGAATTCACAGATTTAACGGTTTTCTTCTCTGCGATCCTCCCACTCCAATCCCCAGCCTCTTCAAGCAGTTCCTCCCCTAGTGAGCTGAGTGAAGGTCCAGCATCTGATGGTTCTTCTCAGGCGTCAGCTAGTGGATGTTCAAATCAGCAGGATGACTCAAGAGCAGCAACACCAACCGCAACACCAACCGCAACACCAACCGCAACACCAACCGCAACACCAACCGCAATACCAACCGCAACAGCAACCGCAACAGCAACCGCAACAACAACAGCAATAACAACAGCAACAACGACAGCGACCGCAGGTTCTTCCCAGACAGCAAGTGGCCCCAAACCGGGGACCTCTGCCTCAGCAGCTCTGGCCACAACACCTCCCAGAATCACACCCATGAGCAATGGCCCCTTACCACCAGGGTAAATGAGCAAGGCACTGCACTTGCCTCTGAAAGTCCTCACTGAAGTCACTGTTAACAAGCAGTATTTCTGTGTTTTGTTATTGTACCGTGGAGCAGAGTTTGATGTATTTTAAAGATATTTTTTTTAGATTTGTCAGTGACAGAATCAGTTTGCTTGCTTTGTCCTCGCTCACTCGTTTACATTGTGTCTACAGGTGGGAGCAAAGGGCGGACCAGAACGGACGGTTGTACTTCGTGGATCATATTGAGAAAAGGACGACCTGGGAAAGACCCGACCCTCTGCCATCAGGGTACCAACACATGTGATTTATTTTTTTTTTCCTGTGAATACTAACGTGCTCCGCTCGGTTGGACTGTGTGCAGTCGTAAACCATAAAAAATGATGTCAGATTAGTCCAGACATGTTTTATTTTTCTGTTTGCACAGTTAAAGGCTGCAAATCACTCGGTGTGCTCCAGTCCACTTTTAACGTTTTTAGATTTAATGTCAGTAATAATACCAGAACATATTAAAACAAGTGTGCATTGTATTGATACGAATGTCAAGCGGAGCCCTCGGGCACAGCTACGATTTGGCCTCCATTCTTTTTACTTTCGCTGTCCTGTAGGTGGGAGCGCAGGGTGGACCCGATGGGTAGGGTGTACTACGTCGACCACATAACCCGAACTACTACGTGGCAACGACCCACGCAGGAGTCGGTGCGTAACTATGAAGAGTGGCAGCACCAGCGCAGCCAGCTGCAGGGAGCCATGCAGCAGTTCAACCAGAGGTTCATTTATGGGGTGAGAGATTGCACTCACTGCACATGAAGCGCAGTTTGAACATGTATTTGTTTGAATGATCTATTTAAACATTCTGCTTTGAATAATAATTTGTTTGTGATAAGTTTTTTATGGAGTAGAGTAGCTGAATATGCAAAGAATGTACATGTTAAACAGAGATTAAGAGCGCAGAGAAACTATCCACCAGATGAATGTGAAAGCTTTTCAGTGTCAAACTCTGCTGAACATACATCACTCTGCACAGTGAAGCTCAAACATCCGAGTGAAGTAGCGATGAGCAAAATATGTTATTTTTGGTGTAAAACATTCAATAATGTACAGTTCCTTGCAGACCTTGCAGTCTGTGCATGCATCGCAAAGGTCACACCTATTATATTTATTTAGTTTGCTTGAAATAAATCCTCTCACAACAAAGCCATGAACACTTTTAGGGGTTCCCCAGCATAGGACACACTGCTGTAAACTGTCCCCATCTGAGGCATTTCTTTTTCCATCTCTAGTTTACATGTGTGGCATCTTTACTACTTCTCAGTGTTCCTGAAGTCTAATTTGGTTCTCAGGTCTAACACAGACACAAACTAGGATGACCGAATGATCCTAACGATGGACAGCTATGGCTAGCATTTTTACAGTCACGTGGTTGAGGAACATAGAGATGTTAACACCCAGTGGGAACAGAAATCACAATGCTATGAGGCCAATTACCCCTTGCTTCGTGATACATTCTTGCTTTAACATGCTGTGACAAATGCAGTTTTGGAGCGTTTATTTA